CAGTTTTGCTGGGTAGGTGATTCTTGGTTGTAATCCTATCTCTTTTGCCCTCCGGAATATTATATTCCATGCCCTGTGGTTCTTTAATGTAGAAGCTGCTAAATCTTGTGTTATCCTGATTGTGTTTCCACAGTACTTGAATTGTTTCCTTCTGGCAGCTTGTAATATTTTCTCCTTGACCTGGGAACTCTGGAATTTGGCTACAATATTCCTAGGAGTTTTCCTTTGGGGATCTCTTTCAGGAGGAGATCTGTGGATTCTTTCAATTTCTATTTTGCCTCTGGTTCTAATAATCAGGGCAGTTTTCCTTGATAATTTCTTGAAAGATGATGTCTAGGCTCTTTTTTTGATCATGGCTTTCAGATAGTCCAATAATTTTTAAATTCTCTCTCCTGGATCTATTTTCCAGGTCAGTTGTTTTTCCAATGAGATATTTCACATTGTTTTCTAATTTTTCATTCTTTTGGATTTGTTTTACAGTGTCTTGATTTCTCATAAAGTCACTAGCTTCCAATTGCTCTTTCTAATTTTTAAGGAAGTATTTTCTTCAGTAAGCTTTTGGACTTCCTTTTCCATTTGGCCAATTTTTCTTTTTAGGCATTCTTCTCCTCATTGGCTTTTTGGACCTCTTTTGCCATTTGGGTTAGGCTGTTTTTTAAGGTGTTATTTTCTTCAGTATTTTTTGGGTCTCCTTTAGCAAGCTGTTGACTTGTTTTTCATGATTTTCTTGCATCACTCTCATTTCTCTTCCCAGTTTTTCCTCTACTTCCTTACTTGCTTCTCAAAATCCCTTTTGAGCTCTTCCAAGGCCTGGGACTGATTCATATTTTTCTTGGAGGCTTTGGATGTAGGAGCTTTGATTTTGTTTTCTTCTTCTGGTTGTATATTTTGATCTTCTTTTTCACCAAAGTAAGATAATATAGTCTGACTCTTTTTGTGCTGCTTGCTCATGATCCCAGCCAATTACTTGAGTTTTAAACTCTTTGTTAAGGTAAGAGTCTGCTTCCAATGTGGAGAGTGTACTGTCCCAAGCTTCAGGGGTTTGTTTAGCTGTTTTCAGAGATACTTGTAGGGACCTGTAAATTTTCAGTTCTTCCAAGGTGGTATGATAAGGGGCGAGGTGTTTACTCCTTTCCTGGCCTGTGACCACAAGTATTCCTTTCTGTCCTGTAACTGTGAGGAGGGGTTCCTCTCCACAGCCACTACAAGCTCTCCACGCCAGTCCTCCTCTCACCCCAGCACTGCCGCCCAGAACTGTGACTCAGATCCAAACACGGGTAAAGCAAGAGATTCCTGCCTCAGCACTGGCAAAGAGATCCCTGCAGTCCCTCTCTGATCAGCCACTGGATTCCCCCTCAGTCTGTGGGCCAGATGCTTGGGAAGCAGCTGCCCCCCCAGCGCCATGCTCTTGGGAATGGAAGTGAAACCCCGCCTTCCTCTCTGAGCACCGACAGAAACAAGACTTTTCCCACTGACCTTCTAAGTTGTCTTTGGCCTTGGTGGATTGAGAAGTCTGGAAACCTCCACAGCTGCCCGAGATTCAGTCCTATGAGGCCTGCTCCAGGTTTGCTGCGGCCTGCATGCCCACGCTGCGCTCCCAGCCCGGCACGATACACCTTTCTGATCAATCATCCAGGTTGTCTTGGGCTGGAAATTTGTTTCACTCTGTCTTTTTGTGGGTTCTGCTGCTTCAGAATTTGTTTAGAGCCATTTTTTATGAGTATTTGGAGGAGTTTGGGGGAGAGCTCAAGCAAGTCACTGCTTTCACTCCGCCATCTTGGCTCTGTCCCCCCAGTCTTCCCCTCTTTTAAATAAGTTAAATGAATTTCAGAGTTTCTTACATGTTGTCAACTCTTGCTCATATTTTTCAGTGTAAGTACAGTTCTTCCTCTTGATTGCATAATTTTTAGTGCCATTTTTACCTCTTAAATTGCGTACTGAGGTGCTAGAATTCAGATGTAATAATTTTACTCTCATCGAGAATAAGTTGAAATGTAAGTCGATAGTTGACATTTATGTTTTATTTATTGTCCTTCCAATTTGAAATATAAGCACTCTTGGGAAAAGTAGGTTTTAGCTGGATCTAACACTAAGCTCCTTGCAAGATCATTTTCACTTCAGCTGCTTTTTACTGCTTAACGAGGTGATATTATTTAAAGTTTTTTGTTAACCTCTGATAACACTTTGCAAAAAAAGTTAGCTTAGGCTGCCATGTTTCTCCACTTTCCAGGGATATAAAGTATTGATTAGTTTAATCTCTTTTGGTCTCTTGCAGGTCCTGCATTGCTTAAAATAGTTGCTTTGTTATCAGCTTTCAAATTCAGCAGTATATTTAACTCAAGCTGAGATTTCTTTAATGCCATAGTGTCTTCATCTTTTTCCTTTTTTCTGATTTGGTACTCAGTGTGACCTTTTGCCTCTAAACAGTGGCATCTAGCTATACATAGACAGTTCATTTTGAAGTGATTACTGCTTTGAGAACTAGTTATTTCTTGTCAAGATATAGTTAGTTAAATTATTTTGTGTTGTTGGTGCTTGCAATTTCCAGTACTTTCTTACATACTCTAAAATTGTAAAGACTTGAGGTTTCTTAGTAATAGGCAAGCTTTTGGGCTTTTTTATTTCTTGTACCCAAGCTAAATTTTCCTCTTCTACATCCATCTTCACATTAAAATCATCAAAAATTTAAGGCATATGTTGGCTTAGTTTGCAGGATACTGTCAAATCTTTCATAGAATTTTTCTGATTCTTCTTCCTTTGCTACAGATTTGTATGGTGGTCTTCAGTGTAATGGTTTTAATTAAGCTCAGTTGTGAATAAAGTGTCCTGTGAAATGTTTTGGTTTATTGAAATCTGTAAAACTCTTTCTTCAAGAAGAATCTGTAGACCTAATTATAAATAAACAAAAAATATCCTATCATCTAGCAGCCAACTTTGTGGCAATAATATATCTTAATTTTAATTTAGCTATATATATTTTAGATTTATCTATGAAAATTGTTTTTAGCACTCCAATAATTGGGATCTAGTTTATTTCATTGGTAATCCTCATCTTATTTGAACTAAATCACCAGAGTCTAGTGTTTAGATGAATTAGGTGTTTATGTTTCTGAAGTATCTTTACTTTTCATGTCTTTGTATCTAGCAGGAGCCCAGTCCTATAAGTAGTTTAATAAACTTTCACAGTGAAGGCATAAGTTGTTTGGTATGATATTTTTTATATGAAGACTGCAAGAGTAATGCTCTGCTTTATAAAACTTTTAATTCTTCTCTGTTGTGGATATTGTGACAAATTTTCCCAGTTTGAATCTTGGGAAATTTTTAATATGTCCCCCTTATGACCTGACAGTTGTTCTGTTACTGGTGGAATACAAACTAATTTTACTTTCATCCTGTACAAAAATAGGAAGGTAAATGGATGACAATGGTAAAAGAAAAATAACTAACATGAACTTAAAAAACTAGATATGAAATGCCTTATCTGCTTATGGAGATGATCCCTTTCATCTATGCAGTGGTCCCTTTCCTTAGCACAGGGTAAGTTACCCTAGCCTCTTTTGCTTCTCAGATTTCAAAGACCACATTTGTTTTTCCTAACCAAGAAAAGATTCTGGATGTGTGTTTTTATTAAGAAGTTACAGAATGAGAAATTAGATAAAATCCTGTCCAAATTATCCTGATTATTTTTTTCTTGCTTTAAAAAGGGAATTGACTTGGAATTGACTTGGATTAGTGTTGTTGTAGAGGTGTAGCCGTCAGTATTTTGCTATTACTGACACCTAAAGCAGTCAGGGTTTGCTAGCTGCACAAGTTTACAGGAATCCTGTCATTTAAATGCCTACACTCTTTTCTAAGCCTAAAATTTGTTAGCTGGCAACGGACAGGACAGTTGTTTTTGTTCTGTCTACCAGTTAAGGTACTGCTATCCAAGAAAGGCTTTTCGGAATATTATGTTTACTTTTACATGAAACTTCTTGGTAGTTGGTAAAATGAATCCATAACAGCTTGGGTTTTAAGAGTTCTAAGTAGTCTGAGGTCATTTATAGACTCCAGATTATGGAGAGAATTACTTTTTTTGTTTAGAGTAATTTTTTTACAGGTATTTGGAGGGATTTAGAGGAGAGCTCAGGCAAGTGACTGCCCTTACTCCGACATCTTGACTCTGTCCCCTCAGAGGGAATTACTTTTGCAGAAGTTGCTGTTATATTATTCCTTGCTATGTTATCCCTTGTTTTCCTCCAAGTCAAGGATTTTGGGTTAATTTTTCCTGTAAAATTCATCTTGAGCTTTGAACTGCAAAGACTAGTCTAATTCCAGCTCAGTATGAAGATACAGCTTTAGTGGGATTCTACTTTGAATTAATGTAACTAGAGTTGATTTGCTTTATGATATAATTTCTTAATATTTTTAGATGATAAAGCAGATTTATAATCCCTTTCTAGATATGCCCTCCTTTGATACAGAACACAAATCATGTACATTTCTTTTCTGGTAGGTTGTACCCAAGATACTAAATTAGGCCTTCTTTAGCTTGTTCAGTTCCAATCATAGTTTGATTCATTGATCACTGGGCAAAGACCTCATTTAGAGAACCAGTAGACAGTTTTTTAAATGGTGTAATTCTTACTACCCTCTGCTCTCTTTTCTGCCATTAAATCACCATCATTGTGAAAGCTGAGGAGGTCACATAGTGATTCATTACTATTTTTTTCTTTTCATGGGTTGCCATGGCCAAATAATTTATCACCTTTGTTGCCAACCATACTAGTGATAAAAACTCCTAGCTAAGTTGACTCTCTGGCAGCAGCTTCAGTCTTTGCCAGAGCAATATTTGAAGCCTTTCCAATGTGGTAGAACCCACTAGAGCTTATACTCTGATGTGGTAGTCTTCAAGAATCAAGGGTCACCTCTGTGCCACAAAGACGTATTAGTCAGACTTGGTGGTAGATTTATTTAAAAAGTCAAAAATAAAAATAAATTCAACTTTTCTTTCTTTGCAGGCACTTGCAGCAAATGCAGGAACGGGGTTTGCTGTAGCTGAGCCTCAAATTGCAATGTTTTGTGGAAAGTTGAACATGCATGTCAACATTCAGACTGGGAAATGGGAACCAGACCCAACAGGAACCAAGACCTGTTTTGGAACAAGAGAGGAAGTTCTTCAGTATTGTCAGGAGGTGAGATGTTGGAATTGTCTGCTCATTTACCTTACTGCAATTTGGGGTTGTATATAAATAGGCATAGGTTTTATGTACCTCACTATTGGTCATTCATATCTGACTTCAGCCATTTATTACTGGGTCTATTATTGAGCCCTCATAGGAGCTTTAACTGTGTACTTTAAAAATTCTATTTTAGGAGCAGGACTTTTGCAGTGTATCCCAGAGTGAGGGTGGATAGAAGCTCATTTCGCTACATTATTTTCACTCCAGGATTATTGAAAAGGGTTTTATAGTCTAAAGATGGCCTGGTTTCCAGAAAGCCCCCATTGTTGTATATTGTAACAGGTAGTATTGGTTAAAGGCTTCCAACTCTTTGTCGCAACTCCTTAAGTTGAAGTAAAAAATAGCATTTAACCTAGAAAATCTCATTTGTTGGCCTTAAGTGATTCTGTGTGTGTGTGTGTGTGTTCGTTCGTTTGTTCATTGAATCCTCCCTTAGAAACGTTAGTGGAGTGATTTTATCTAGTGAAACAGTCATTAAATTCTGTTGTAAATGTGAAAAATTTGAGATGCAATTTTGTATGTGTGTGTGCGCAAGCCTGTGTATATAATATCTTAATAGGACTAACGTGAGGAAACATGAAATAGTTATACTAGTATGGCTTTAAGTTAAAGCCCTTTAATTTAGAATATTACAGTTCTTCATGTAAAAAAAATGCAATGGAACAAAAATCTAAGGTTTTTTTAAAATAAATTTTTAATTTGGGTATTCTATTTTTTCCCCAGTTTCATGCAAAAAATAACTTTTTTTTAAGTGCCCCAAATGTTTATTTTAAAAGATCTCCTTAGGTATACAGTGTTAGAGCATTAGAGAATGATTAAAAAGCAATTTTTAATATTCATTTTTAAAACTTTTGAGTTCTCAATTCTCTCCCTCCCTCCCTCCTCACCCCCATTGAGAAGACAAGCTATTCAATATAAGTTATATATGTGTAGCCATGCAAAACACTTCCATAAGAGTCATGTTATGACTTAACTGTATTTCCCTTCATCCTGTCCTGCCCCCCTGTTTATTCTATTCTCTCTTTTTACCCTGTTCCTCAAGAGTATTTGCTTCTGATTACCCCCTCCCCCAATTTGCCCTGCCTTATATCCCTTCCCCCCCCTTTTTTTTTATCGCTTTCCCCCCTACTTTCCTGTAGAGTAAGATAGATTTCTATACCCAATTGAGTGTGTATATTATTCCCTTGTTAAGCCGATTCTGATGAGAATAAGGTTCACTCATTCCCTATCCATTCCCCCATCTTTCCCTCCATTGTAAAACCTTTTCCTTCCTTCTTTTATGTGAGATAATTTACTCCATTCTTCTCCCTTTCTCTTTCTCCCAGTACATTCTCTCTCACCCTTTAATTTTATTTTTTAGGTATCATTCCTTCATATTTAATGCACACCTGTGCCCTCTATGTGTACTGCTTCTAGCTACCTTAATAATGAGAAATGCCTTTGAGTTATAAATATCATCTTTCCATGTAGGAGTGTAGACACTTTAGCTTTAATTTAAAGTCCCTTATGATTTCTCTTTCCTGTTTATCTTTTCATGCTTCTCCTGAGTCTTGTATTTGAAAGTCACCTTTTTCTGTTTAGCTCTGATTTTTTTGTCAAGAATGCATTAAATTCCTCTATGTTATTGAATATCAATTTTCCCCTCTCACTGATTACATTCAGTTTTGCTTGGTAGGTTATTCTTGGTTTTAATCCTAGGTTTTTTGACTTTTGGAATATCATATTCTAAGCCCTCTGATTCCTTAACGTAGAAGCTGCTAAATCTTGTGTTATCCTGATTATATTTTCACAATACTTGAATTGTTTCTTTCTGGCTGCTTGCAATATTTTATCCTTGACCTGAGAATTCTGGAATTGGGCTATAATATTCCTTGCAGTTTTCCTTTGAGGATCTCTTTCAGGATGTGATCAGTGGATTCATTCCATTGCTCTTTTACTCTTTGGTTCCAGAATATCAGGGCAGTTTTCCTTGATAATTTCTTTCTTTTTTTTTTCTTTTCTTTTCTTTTTTTTTAGGCAGTTGGGGTCAAGTGACTTGCCTAGGGTCACACAGCTACTAAGTGTCAAGTGTTTGGTCTGAGACCGGATTTGAACTCAGGTTGTCCTGACTTCAGGGCCGGTGCTTTATCCACTGCGCTACCTAGCTGCCCCTATAATTTCTTGAAAGATGATGTCTAGGCTTTTTGATTATTGCTTTCAGGTAGTCCAATAATTTTTAAATGATCTCTCCTGGATCTGTTTTCCAGGTCAGTTACTGTTTTTCCAATGAGATCGTTCACATTGTTTCTATTTTTCCATTCTTTTGGTTTTATTTTGTAATTTCTTTATTTCTTATAGAATCAGTAGCTTCCATTTGCTCCATTCTAATTTTTAAGGAATTATTTTCTTCAGTGAGCTTTTGTACTTCCTTTTCTACTTGGCCAGTTCTGCTTTTTAAGGAATTCTAATCCTTATTAGCTTTTTGGACCTCTTTTACTGTTTGGGTTAGTCTATTTTTTAAGGTGTTATTTTCTTCAGTATTTTTTTGGGTCTCCTTTAGCAAGCTGTTGACTTGTTTTTCATGGTTTTCTTGCATCACTCTCATTTCTCTTCCCAATTTTTCTTCTACTTTTTTTACCTGCTTCTCAAAATCCCTTTTGAGCTCTTCCAAGGCCTGGGACTGATTCATATTTTTCTTGGAGGCTTTGGATGTAGGAGCTTTGGCTTTGTTGTCTTCTTCTGACTGTATGTTTTGATCAGCTTTGTCACCAAAGAAAGATTCTGTAGTCTGAGTTGTTTTTTTTTTCCTGCTGTTTCCTCACTTTCCCAGCCAGTTACTTGACTTTTAAACTCTTTGTGAAGGTAGGGTCTGTTTCCAATGTGGAAGGGGTATACTGTCCCAAGCTTCAGGGGGTTTTTGTAGGGGACCTATAAGTTTTCATTTCTTCCAAGGTGAGATGGTTACTTCTCTCCTGGCCTCTGGTCTGTGAGTGGAACTGAGGAGGGTCTCCTCTCCACTGCTGCCACAAAGCTCTTCAATGCTAGTGTTCCTCTCAGGACTGAGACCTGGATCCAGGTATGGGCAAAGCAACAGAGTCCTCCCTCAGTGCTAGTAAACAGACGCCCTGTAATCTCCTTCTGACCAGTTGCTGTGGGCTGGAGAGCTCTTGAAGCTGCCGCCTCCAATTCCATTGATGCTAGTGTGATCTGTGCTGGATTGTGCTGCTCTCTCAGGTCGGACCCAGGTCCGACAGACCTTGTGGGCTGAGAATTCTGGAAACTGGCACTGCTGCCAGGGATTCATTCCCCCGACTCCTGCCAATATGTGCTGGTGTTGCCCTTGCTGTACTGGACTCCTCTCTTAGCCTGATGCAACAGACCTTTCCTATCGACCTTCCAGGTTGTCTTGGGCTGGGAATTTGTTTCACTCTCTTTTGTGTATTCTGCTGCTCTAGGATTTGTGTAGAGTCATTTTTAAAAGATTTGGCAGTGGGGAGAGCTCAGGCATGTTCCTGCCTTTACTCCTCCATCTTGGCTGCACCCCTCTAACTCCTTCCTTCTTCCCTCCCTCCCTCCCTTCCTTCCTTTTTGTTTTTTGCCTAATGCTAGTTTTCTTGCAAATCTTTATGGAGGTTATTTGCCTTTGTGCCTTCCCCATATTAATGTGAATGTTGTCTAATGTTGCTTTGCCAAAAAATAATCATCAGTTACTAATGTAACTCTTCTCCCAAATTTGTATCCTGTTCTTTTTTTCAAGACATATCTAAAGTACCACTTTCTATACAAATCCTTTCTTAGTAATCCCTGAAAATTGGATTACCATCTCCTCAATTGCCTTGTATTTGTTATCTTCATACTTGTTCTACATATGCTTAATTTATCTAACTATTCTTTCCCCAATAGGTTGTAAATTGCTTGAGAGTAGGGATTATTTCTTCTTAGTTTTTGTATCTACATTACCTTTGTAGATGGATGTTGTCTGAAAGTAGGGGCCTGACATAAGAAACTTTAGGGCATATTGAAAAGAGGTGGAAAGGCTCTGCTTCTGTAGCACCTTGCTCTGGATTTGTATGCTTTGAATGTCCATTTTCCAAGGTGTTTGATATTGTTTGATATCTTCTTTCTCCTTCCCCTTGATAGATGTATCCAGAACTTGAGATCACCAATGTGATGGAAGCAAACAAACGGGTGGTGATTGACAACTGGTGCAAGAAAGGCAAGAAGCAGTGCAAGCCTCGCTCTCACATTGTTATTCCCTACAAGTGCATTGGTGAGCATTTTTTGCTGCTTATGTACTGTTCTGTAAGCTTCCCTTCTCTTGCAGGGGAAAGCTGAGTACAATCTTGGTTTTGTGGCAGATCTTTATATCTGGCTTCCCTTTCCAAAGTATTTAATTCTGAATCTCTCTTTGCAGTTGAAACAAACAGATTGCTTCCTTTTCGTGGAATAAGTAGCCATATTACCCTTAAATCAGTCTGGTTATGTCCCCAGATTTGTTTGAGCCTGATGTCTTAGATGACACATAGATTAATGTGTCAGCATCCTAACATGTTCTTTAAATGGAAAGGGAGATATATCTGCCATAGAGGGTGTTGCCCCATGTGAAATGCTGTAGGTTAAGGTATTTGTGACTTTGTGAAACTGATTAGCTACTTTTTTTTTAACAAGACCATAACATTTTGTTTATAGAGAAAAAAGATTGTAGTTTTAAGTGTTCAGTTGATGTATACCATCTAATCACTCATCTTCTGAAATAACTTCATTGCATTTACCATGTTTATAGTCTGATTTGAGAATTAACCTAATCTTGAAAACTAGAGTATTGAAAATTATTTTTTATATAATCAGGGGATGAGAGATTCAACAAATATAAGTAGCAGTTTGTTTTATTTAATGCTTATTGAATGGCAAAGGGAGAGGGGAAGTTTGAAGAAGATACAGACCTGAGTTTTCATTAGTTCGTAGCACATATTTCTGCCTACAAACATTTTAAATAGCATCACCTTCAGAGTTTTAGGAGAGCTACAACTAACAAGCCGATCTTGTGTAAACATATATGGGCCATAGCTATTACTCCAGTAACATTTTCCAGTTTTGCACAAACTTCTATCTTGCTTCAACAAGTCCTTTTTTGGCTGGGTGGTGGGGAGGAGTAGTTGTCTCTGATGATTCTGCAGAAAGATAATTTTTAACACCGCCACGAATTATATTTGTCTTGACGTTTGTACCTACTTTAAACAACATAACAAGATGATTTTTTGTTCATGATGATTACCTTGAAATACTGCTAACTATATACTACCAATTAAAAAGAGAAAAGATTTGAATGCAGACTTGCATACAGCAAAACATTTTGCCTTCTCAGTCCATTTGCCAAATGCTGTAACATGAGTTTGATTAGTTTATCCATTGGAGATGACCCTGAGTTCTTAATGGTTCTTAATGCCAGCAGACTGCAAGCTCTGGTGGATCGTGTTAAGATGGTAAGGCATGGAGTAAGGACCCAGGCAGTATCAACTAAAGAACAGCTTTAGTTAAGGTAGAGGGGCTCATTGCCAGGTTGCCTGATGAAATATGGGGTAATAACATTTATTCAAGACCACCTACCAAGTCAGAGATAGTTTATGGTCTGTCTCAGAAATGACAGATTTTTCAAGCAACAGTCATAGAGTCAAATAGTGACGTCCAAGAAAGTGTATAAAAGGCATCTTTGTGTTTTAGAATTAGATGCTTCTAATCATTTTGCTTTATGATCACTAAACAAAGTACTAGACAGGTTAATTTCTTTAGGCCTGTATACTGTCAGTAGTTAGAACTGGCTCAGAGGTAATGCGATAATTGGCACAATCACTGAAGACCCCAAAACTTGGGTTGGAGAAAAGGGTAGAGTGAGTGGTATTGCTGACTGGTTGGTTGTTTCAGGCTCCTAATCAACAAATCTTCAGCAACTCTAGGAATAACACTAAGAAAGAAAAGAGGGAATACTAAGTGCTTTTCTAGCTGGCCCATCCCCTTCTAATCCAAGGCATGGAGGATGGAGTCAGCAAACCAGAATATGATGGCAAGAATACCATTTTCCCCCCTACCCATTATGTCTACTCTGCTTATTCCTTTCAGATTTCTCATTTACCTCTCTGGGCCTCTCTTTGCTCGTCTGAAAACGAGGGGGATAGGAGGACTAATGATTTCTAGGGTCACTTCTAACTCTAAATGCTATGATCTATCCACTGTTTCTTTCCTTGAGTTTCTTCTTCAGAGCAACATTTGTTCCCGAATCCTGCATTAGAAATGTTAGTGGAGTGATTTTACCTAGGGGAATAATGATTACTGTGAGATTTCAAATAACCAATAATTATGAGGGATTTCTTTAGTAGATCTTCCTGGTGAAGTTTTTGAAATTTCTCCATGGAATCCTAGGGTGCTACGAGGTATCATTTATTTGTTCCCATGAATGAAGGAGGATTGCTGCTGACACTGGTTGGTAAAGGTTTCCTCATCTAGGCTCAGTACAGCAACCAGTACAGCCTAGGCACTGATGACAGTTCAGAATCTTGTGTTCTTTACATTAGTGCCTTCTAACTACCAGCCTTATTTGTATTACTTAGAAAGATAAGAAAGTATTATTTAATAGAATTGATCTACTGCTTTTTCCTTTTTTTAAAAAAAAATTTTTTTTAATTTAAATTTTTTAATTTTTTCCATATGCTTTTGAGTTGAAAATTTTTCTCCCCCTTCCTCCCCCCCACCCTCCCCAAGACGGCGCACAATCTGATGTAGACTTTACATTTACATACCCATTAAATATATTTTCACATTAGTGAAGTTGTAAGTAAAAATTAAAACCAATACGAGGAACCATCAGAAAGATGAAACAAAACTCAACAGAAGGTAAAAATAAAGTGATAGCGATTTGACTTCCATAGTTCTTTCTTTGAATGTGAACAGCATTTTCCATCCCAAGGCCTCTGGTAATGCCTTAGATCCTCATAATGCTGAGAAAGGTTCAGTTTAACAGTCTTAGTCATTGCATAACGTGGCTGTTATTGTGTACAAAGTCCTGTTGGTTCTGCTCACTTCACTCAGCATCAGACCATATAAGTCTTCCCAGGTTTTTCTGAAGTCAGCCTGTTCATCATTTCTTACAGCTCAATAGTATTTCATTACATTCATATACCACAATTTGCTCAGCCATTCCCCAATAGATGGGCATCCTCTCAATTTCCAATTCTTTGCCACCACAAAAAAAGCTGCTATAAATATTTTTGTACATATGGGTCCTTTTCCCATTTGTTTGATCTCTTTGGGGATCTACTGCTTTTTCTAATGAGATAATGTTTATCTCTGTTACGAGCCATCAAAGCCTATTGGGATCAGTTTTTCCTATTCCTTTGTATCTTTGCGCTATCCTTTTTTCACTTGAACCTTTGTATAATAGTATTTCACACTGTACTATTATATTATTTCTGAACTTCTGTTATTTATTTCTGCACTTGTCTATCTCATTTGTGAATTATAAGCTCATTGAAGGCAATGAAAAAGTCTTTATTCATTTTTATATCCTCTCCTTGGTACCTAGTATAATGCTTTATGTGTAATTGGTCTTCAATAAAAGTGTTTTTGGATCAAAATGAATTTACCCTTGGTGTTCAAACTACTCTTTGGACTAGCCTTTCAGTGGACTGGCAGTGATTGTGATTGTTCCTGAAAAACCTAAAGATATTGATAGTGGAAAGAGATAGGTAGAAGAATAGAGGGGAAAAGGTCGAGGAAGATGAGGATGGAGAAAAGCTATGCTTGATAGGCAGAGTGCCTCTAGCAGTCAATTTGGGTGCCAAAAATTGTTTACATCAGCTTTAAAGTATTGATTTTGCTAGGTTTAGATTTCTTGAAATATTGCCTTGATCACCAAGCTTGAAAGTTGTTTAAGGACATTGATAACTGGTATGGCTCAACTCTCTAAGCGTTATATGATAGATCTTTTTTTCTCTTCTCTAATCATGAAGTTTTTTCTCCAGTATACCTGAAAGAACGCTAAATACTCTTCAGTAAAACGGTTTGGAATCACATTTTAAGTTCCTATATTTCAGGTAGAAGTTTTAATTCAGCACATGATAATAGCCTTTATCATTTCCCAAATTGCAGTAGTCATCTCCTGTTGAATTATATTAGTAAAAAATAATAGAGTGATAGAAGTGGTGATAGTGGGTCAGAAATATGAAAAGGTGAAGGTTTGTTTATTGAAAAGGTAAATGCTTTCTAAAGCATTGATTTATTGGCTAGGAAAGTAGGCTTGCATGTATGTGTAATGTAAACCTTTGTGATTTTCTAATAAATGATTTTGAATTGGTTTGTAGGGTTTTTTTTATAAAAGCCCAGCTGCATCTGTTCTTTGGGATGATTAATTTTAAAGCCCATTAAAACTGATCCTAGAAGCAATGAAATACCAATTTTTAACAAGTATAATTTCGTGTCTTTAGGACAGCTGATCTATAAATTAAAGATTTCATTCTTAACTGGATTTTATTGAGCCATTTAAAAATGTGATACTATAGAAAACTGGAAGCTTAAGGCCCAGTTGATTTTGTAGAAAATAAGTATTTTTTGGTGAGAATTTGTTCTCAAATGCAGGCTGTTTCAAAACTGCCCCCAGTGCATATTCCCAGGAAAGAGAAACTCTTTCATTCCTTTTGGGAGTTGGACTAATCTTTAGGAAACTGAATACTTTTAAAATGGGACAGCCGAGAACAAGACTTCTCCATTTTCACCTTCTTGGGCTTTAGTAGCAGAATAGAAGTCGGAAGTATTGGAAGTGGGAGACAGTCTTTTGTCATTGAAAAAACTTTTCGCACCCGGATAAAGAGAAGAGCTCCAGATTCTTGCTAACCACTACTGTGCATCAAAGAGGTGGACAATACAAACAACAGAGAAGTGAGAACTGGATATAAGCTGTAATTATGTTTCTAGTATAAATTAAAATACTAATGACATTCATGCCGTATTTTCATGTGGTTCACTTTTTTAGGCTGATGAAATGCAAAGAAATAGTGTTAGCTTTATATTGTACTTTGAGTTATTGAGTCTTTTACAGCTTTTATCCTGTAATTTTTCACTGTTTATATCATAACTGTTGTCTTTTTGCCAGGTAGAACCAGGATTATGTTGCCAGCTTTTATATAAACTTTGTGGCTTACTAAGTTCTAAATTCATCCCATCACATAAAACCTTTCACAAACCTTAAAACAGAACTCTTCTGTCTGATGAATCTTAACC